GTAATTGAGAGAAACCTCTTATATTGTGGGTGCTTTTCATGATCACAAGGAGCCCTGGTGGTATTGTGAGCTCTGTGTTGGATTGCTAACTGCAAGTTCAAATCCACCAGCCACTCCATGGAAGAAGGAGGAGGTTTTCGGCTCCATAGTCAGAATTTACTTGATGACAGTGGCTCCCCCTGACACACCCCCGGTTTTCCAAGATCACATCCCCTTCTGTGAACTGACTGCTGGAAAAACAGTAAGATGACATTTTCATGGATCTTTTATTTTCTTCTAAATAACATCCCAGTACCTGAACCATGTTCCAGCTATGTGGGTCTTGATCATGCTTTGGTTTCCTCTGTGAGATCTAGCAGTGCCATGAAGATTAATGTCTTCTTTTTTTCCCTTTTGAGTACATACAATAAATTCCTTTGATAGTGCTGAATTTTATTTGAGCCTTTTGCTCCTGCAAAACAGTGACAATTAAAATGTACCCACCCTGGTGTATTCTGGGAAATGGCTGAACTTTGACCCTGCCTCAGTCTGTGTCAATATACAATCCCTCTTAACGACTCCTAGTGACTAGCCACTCATCTAAGGGGAAAACATTCTATGATCATACCTAATCTCGCCACTCTCATCAACTTATCCCACTTCCCCACACTCTATCCCACTTCTTCACACTCATTCACTTCTTCCTATTAATGAAAAGCTGTTTTCTGTTTGACTTTGGAGATGCTTCAAGGTGTTACAGTGGTGTTATTTTTCCTATTGCAGTAAATCCTTCCCCTCCTCGTACAATAATCCAACCTGTTTTTGGTAATTTGAATTGTAGTTGTTTCATCTCCAGCTGTGGGATCTTTAGTGACTCATTTAACCTTTCTTTGCCTCATTTGACTTCATGTAAAAATCAAGTAATGGTACACAGTCACAATTCTAGAGACATTTTAATGGTGCTATTTATATAAAGGAGTCCTGGTGTGGCACTGTGGGTTAATGCGCCAGACTGCAAAGCCATTTGAACTGCAAGGTCGGCAGTTCAGCTGCTCCTTGGAAACCCTATACAGGGTCGCTATGGGTTGGAATTGACTCGATGGCACTTACAACAACAACAACAACACATATATAAAGCACATCTAAGAATGTGAGGCACATGAACATTCTTAACATAGTCTTCTATTAGTTTGATTTTTGTTATTCACAATCTGAGTGGGCTAAAAGATCTCTAACTTTTTTGAATCATGAACTCCAGGATGAAAGTCTCTATGCACTTGGCAGAACCAGGAGGTAGAGAATAAATCCTTAGACAACATACCCCATGAAATAGAGAAAAGATCTTTAATCAAATTATGGGTCAAATCTGCTTTGTTAAAGCATGTTGTTGTGGTTAAGTATCATTGAGTCAGTTCCAATCCATAGTGACCCTGTAGAGGGTTTTTGAGTAATGACTGGTGGGTTTGAACCACCTACCTTGTGGTTCAAACTGACTTTTCAATCCAGCGCATTATCCTGCAATTGTACACATAGGATGAATTATATTGATAACAAGAAAACATTGTCTAGGATTCCCCAATCGATTTAGATTATTTTTATGATATTACCTAGCATAAAACAATATCTAAATTCTTATAGATTTTATGGAGTAAAACTAAAATAAGTTACAAAAGGAATGAAACAAAATCTACAATCAATGTAATTTGTGCTTTGATTTTAATTTTTGGGGGTGGGGCGCTAGGAGTAGAAAGTCATACCTCAATTCTTGTTTTCAATTCAATGCTAGTTTACAATTTTGTATAAAAGAGAAGGGTAACTTGCATGGTAAGAGTACAAGTGTAAGAGTAGTGAGATATAAGGAAACTATTATTAAAGGCTGAAAATATGACTGGAAATTTGGTAATCCATATCATGGAGAAATATTTGGTGTGAGTTTTTTCATTGATAACTTGAGAGGTAGATCAGATTACTAATGATCTTATATCTCTGGAAGGCAGTGGAAACTTTTGGAAAAATACTATAAGAAGGAACTGAACTCATTAGAGAATTGTCCAATTTTTAAGTAGGTCTAAAAGGTATAGAAATAATGAATGAATCCAGAGGCCTGGTAGAGTTGAAAGAGCTATTGCATCAAAATAAAACAGAAACTCTTGGAGAAACAAAAGTCAATTAATACTCACTTTGATGGGAAACTTAAATGATAAGTATGACATTAAAATCTCTGAATGGAGTAAGGTGTCATCAAATAAAAACTCTGTGTGGTGTCTGATAAATTCCTCATACAGACTAAGTAGCTTAAAAGGAAAAAAAGACTATCAATAGATTTTTCAACCTAACCTTATTGCTCATATACATTAATACAGATGAAATAAATACAGAGAGACATTGGGATGAAAAACTGATCAGTTCTGGGAACCACTGTAGTCATAGTTACTGACACATGGAGAATGGAGAAGTAGTCAACTCAGTTTTGAAATATTTGAACTTCCAAAAGTATCATAATTCAGGAAAGGCTTTAGCTATTATTTTAGTCTTTTAAAATTTTTTAATGTTTTAGTGTGAATTATGTGATAGTTTACATAGGAGAACATTAGCTTTACATTCATTCTATCGTATATCATTTCATTGCCATGGTTACAATCCCCTCCGTACATCATCAACCAGCCAGAGGGTATATACCCTGCAAGCCTGCCCCCTCCCAGTGATCAGCACACAGCCCCTCTCCCTCTCTGGTCTAAAGTCCCCAGCTGCTCCATCTCTTCACGTTATTGTCTCTGCCTCCATGTCAGGCATCACTGCTTCTCTGGGTAGGGTCCTGCTCACCAATCTTCTCCCTTGATGGTCCCAAGGACCTCTGCTCCTAGACTGCAAAGTTAATCACCCCCTCCTTGCTACAAAACGTCTATCTTTACCTTTCCAACCCTCACAATCAGTCCTGATAACAATTATTCACTATTGTATCACAAGATACCTATCCACATTGCCTTTCATCAGCCCCGCCCAAACAGATTGGATACTACTCAGTGGAGAGTCTACATTTCTCCATGCCCTCTGGATCTAGGTTCCCTCTTGAAAGCTTGTAAGCCAGTCACTTCTTGCCTTTGTACTCACCCCGTTTTGGGTAGCCAATGTCCAAGTTGCCCATTCCTGTATACTCTGTGTATGGAGGGGGTGGGAATGATCCTTGTTGTAAAGATTTGTTCCCTCTTTCAAACAATGATTGTTATATTTCTCAGCTCTCATCAGTTAAGCCCTGGTGCCAGGTAGGGTCTTGTAATGTATTGGAGGGTATTATCCCACTAGCATTTGAATTTACCCACATGTTATTTCTGAAAGCAAAAATCTACATACAGCATACTGAATATTGGTCTAGAGCTAAAATATCATCTATGTGGCATGTGTACTCACCACCCTTATTCCCATGTTCACAGTAGACATTGCAAATTAATTATGATTTTTTTGCCCTGTAAAGTCAAGAGATGGCTAGTCAAGTCTCTTTCAATATAGTTGTTGTTGTTGTTAATTGCAGTTGAGTTGTTTCCAGCCCATTGCGACCCTATATAGTGTTTCCAAGGAGTGTCTGGTGAGCTTGAACCACTGAACTTGTGGTTCAAACCACTTTGCAGTCCAGTGTATTAGCCCACAGCGCTACACCAAGACTCCTTCAATACGGTGTCCCTTAGATATTCAGTACCAATGATCAGATTTGCATGGGATGTAATAGTCATTTGTTACCTATACCGCTAAGGAATAAAGTTCTTGAACATATTCATTTCAGGTAATTGTGCTGCTTGCAGGTAGCTGCATTGAGCAGCAACATCAGAGTAGATAGAGTATTCAGTCCCTGATTCTCAATCATATTAGAGGGCTTCAAGAAGTTTATAGAAAAATGAAATGAGAAGATAATGTGTTTTTTTCCCCACAAGCTTTTTGAAGCCCCCTCATATGTCCCTTTTTTGAAGTTTGGTGGCTAGATCTAAATTTCTTTGAGGGAAGATCTTGACTCAAGTAAAATATAATTGTCCATGAGGAATAGGTGGAGGAAAGAAACTTTAATATGTCCTCCTTTATTAACATCCTAGTGAGAATTGGGAATTGTTAGTATGTTAGTGATACTGTTCGCTGCCATCAAGTCAGTTCCGATTCATAGTGACCCTATGTACAACAGAACGAAACATAACCCAATCCTGCACCATCAATATAATGATATGTGATAAAATATTCTTATGAATGATATATAGATGGAGAAAATATTAGAAACAATCATATTTAGGGAGATGAATATGGAAAAGATGGATAAAGAGGGATGAAATAGTGAGAAGTACTTGAGAGACTAACTAAAGAGAATAAGTACTGAGACATAGTATAGAATTTATTTTCCATTGAACCAAAATCTAAAGTTGACTCATTAACAGTAACACATTGAGTTTACACATTATATTAAGAAATGTATGTTTATGGAAGCCAAAACATTATGCTGTGGTGGTAAGATGCAGGAAAGGGAAGGCAGTTCCAACGTGTTTGATAAGTCCCTTCCCAAACTAATGTTGAGGATGGAACACACACACACACAAACATATGCATGTACGCACCATTTATAAAGATTCCCACAGATTAAGGGGAAAAATATCTTTATGTAAACGTGTACACACCTCAAGATCTGTGAAAGACATAAATATTTCCTGCCAAGTACCCTTGTTGAATTTACATTAATTCCATCAAAAGAATCAACAGGGAAATTTTCAAGTAAGTTTGGAGGAAATAGGATTGTATGATGGAGTAGGGTTAAAAGAAGGCAAAAGGGTTCAGATAGATAGAGCTCATTCCCATCAGCTAATGGCAGATACTACTGGTGGAGAGGTAGGAAATGTCAGGGAAAACCCTAGCATAGTCAATGAATATTTTCTCATCATGCATAAAATACCTTTACAAATATTCCTCAGTTGACAAAGACACTAGTAACTTGCAACCAAGGATTGAAGTCTCTGCAGAGTTTCCTCAAGGTTTAGCATGAAACCACATCAGAGGGACTTTATCCTACCTATAAGCTTACCCAAGCCCCGCTTCATGTCTTTGTTTCTCAGACTGTATATAAAAGGGTTTAACATGGAGGTTAATATGGTATAGATGATTGTTGCTATTCGGTCCTTGACAGTGTAGCTGGCAAGAGGCTGGAAATAGACATAGCTAACACTCCCATAAAACAGGATCACTACAGTGAGATGAGAGCCACAGGTAGAGAAGGCTTTGTACTTTCCAGCAGCTGAAGGGATCTTTAGAACAGTGATGAGGATTCTCAGATATGAGATGATGATGCACGAAAAGGGGGTCAATACGACAGATAGTCCTTCAGTTTTTATCAGTATTTCATTAACAAATGTAGATGAACAAGATAACTTTAGCACTGGGTTGACATCACAGATGAAGTGATGAATAATATTGGAAGCACAGAAGGAAAGTTGATCAATCAGGTAGACATGCAGGAGTGAGTGGAGGAATGGGACACAGAAGGAGATAACGAGCAGTAAGATACAACATTTATGGTTCATGATGGTGATGTAACGAAAGGGGTTGCATATGGCCACATAGCGGTCAATGGCCATGGCCCCTAGCAGGTAGCTATCTACATTACCAAACAATATGAAGAAATACATTTGGGTCAGGCACTCACCATAGGATATGGTCTTTGTTTCTGATATGAAGTTTATCAGCATCTTTGGTGTAATGACTGTTGTATAGCAAATGTCAACAAAGGACAGAATGCTCAAAAAGAAATACATGGGGATTTGTAGGTGAGTATCTGAATTGATGGCCAAGATAATGATCAGGTTTCCCATCACAGTGATGAGGTAGATAATTAGAAAGAAGACAAAGAGAAGTTTCTGGTCCTCAGGCCTAGAGGATAGCCCCAGGAGTATGAATTCAGAGGGTCTTGTTAGGTTGTTCCATCCCATGGTTTTGATTTTGCTTAAATATAAATAAGACTGTGAATTCATGGACTCTGATATTATTCATTCATTCTTAAACATTTCCCAACCTTATTCTCCCACAGAGATATTAGAAATATATTTGTCTGTACCACTGCTATCCTTCAGAAATGTAGAGAATTAAGGGAGAAATGTGCTTATCCATCTCCTTTTTATCTTAGTTCCCTAGAGATTTTGGGAAAATACATCATAGAATGGGGGTGGTAAGATAAGAGAGAGTGTGAAAGAGAGAGAGAGAATGAGCTGTGGAATTAGAGAGAGTCTTCCCTTTTCACTTTCTTGCCTTCTGTATGATGACCATATTCTAACTGACTGTGAGTTCAGGGTAATTTGACCAGATGTGCTATGGAACAAAGTCTCCACAGAAATTTCAATGGATAACCTTGCCTATATAATTATTTACCAGTCCTGAACCTTCTCCTTTAATTCCGCTGCTCTTTCATCCATCAGTTATCCTGAAATCTGACTGAACATTGAATTATGAAATTATAATACAATTTCTTCTTCCCTTTCACTGTGATAATTGTGTTCTTCTGGCCCCTTTGAGTTGTTATCCTGGAAAGTGCAAACAGAGACACAGATCTAACGTAGCATGAATAGAATAATTTTCTCATATTTGAGCATGTTCTATCCAAAGTCCCCAACTTGTGAGTATGTGTAAATGTGTTTACTTTAAGTGTGAGTGGGTCCCTCTAACCATCTCAACCATATATACTGCTGTCCCAGACTTACTTGATCTTTGGCAAGCATTCAACTCCTCTTGAGTCTGAGTGATCTCCTCCAAGCTATTGCAGTGCTCTCCCTATCTGAGGGAGCTGTAGTGACTTACAACATGCCCTCTTCATGAAAGCATCATGTGCCTTTGTTCCCAATTCTCTGGAGTTCAGTTAGGAAATACAGTAGAAAACAAACCACTGATGTTTTCATTTATGAAAGCTATTCCCCTAAGGAACCAAGAGTATATCTCATGCCCTGTTTTCCTCCATATTTCCTAAGATATTGTAAAGTGCCTAGACATTGTTGGTTCAGCTGACAAAGTTGGACAATGAGAATGCCTAGTATAAGAACTTGAAGGGCAGAATTCTGGGAAGAATACGGTAAACCATGCCATGTTTGTCTCAGACCTATATAAAGATAATGTAACCTGGCCTTATTACTCAGGGCTTTTTCCCTCATGGGGAAAAACCAAGTATGTCATCTTCATGCCACTGATTGCCGCTGCTTACTTTACCTAAACAGCCTTAAAGAAAACACTGTAGGTTTGAAGTTTCCATCTGTAATATGACCTTGTACCACCTCTCTGATATAACCTTCCCCAATTCTCCTGCCACATATGTCAATTTCATTCTTTGCCTTAGTTACCTAAAACACTAAAAGTTGCATTTCCCCCTCTGTATCAACAACACATATAAGCTAGGGTTTGATCAGGGAAGCAGAATCATGAATGATATGGCATAGTGATTTACTATAGGGATTAGACCTTATTGTGGGAGCTAGTAAAGGAATGTACAGGAAACTGTTAACTTTGCATTTTATGGAGGGCCTGAATTCTCTGTAAATCATCAGAGCTAGCAGTTTAGAAAAAAGGTAGATGTGGAGGAAGTGAGGAAGAACTGGAGCTTTTAAGGACATATTGGAAGCAATGAGAGTATATAGAATTCACGAGGCCAAATATGGAACGTACTACCCTCAGTTTGGGTGGTGAGGAGGAATTGGCACTCTTTGCCACAGCATTATTCATGTATCTGATGCAGGACTTGGAAAAGCTGAAAGAGAGCTTCCAGTAGGAACAGGGGGGTCTGGGGGCCTGTGAGACTAACTGCTGCCCAGGCCAACCAGATGAGACAAGAGAGTAATGACAGGGTGAGTAAGACGCAATATCATGTGACACCCTTCAAAGTACAATGACTGACGCATATATCTCTTAAGACAAAATCCTGTAAGGAAAATAATTCTGTAATTACAGTTCAGCCAAGTAGTAATCTCCAGCACGATAACTTAAGTATTCTTCCCACTTCAGTCATACAGCAAAGTAATTAGGTAAGGTTTCTAAATCCAACTGGTTCCAGTCACATCATCTTCCACACACTATCCATAGTTCTCTTTACATTACATATTAAAAATCACTGCATCTTTCTTTTTAAAAACAAAACAGCAAAAAACCCGATATTATCCTGTCAATTCTAATTTGTGGTGACCACATATATTATAAAGTAGACCTGCTCAATTAGGATTTTCTTAGAGAAAGGAGCTCTGATAGTGTAGTGGCTATGAATCCGGCAGTGAACCTCAAGGTCAGCAGTTCAAAACTACCAGCTGTTTTGCGGAAGAAAGATGAGGCTTTCTGTTCCCGTAAAGATTTATGGCCTCGGAAACCCCGTACAGGGTCATTATGAGTCAGAACCGACTCCACGGCACATAAGCACCCCCACCAATATTTACAGAAGTACACAACCAGGCTTTTCTTCAGTGTCACTACTGGATGGGTTCAGCCTGTCAGCCTTTAGGCAAGGTGGTGTTGTTGTTAAGTGCTGTCAAGTCAGTTCTGATTCATAGTGGCCCTGTATGTAGGGTTTTCAAGGAGCTGCTGGTGAGTTTGAATCACTGACTTTGCAATTCAAACTGACCTTGAGGTCAAGTGCTTATCCTATGGTGCCACACCAGGACTCCTTTAGGCAAGTAGTGGATTGCAAACTATATACACCGCCTAGGAAACTCTACTTTGCTTATAAAACCAAGCAAGCAAGCAACCAACCAAGAAACCAAACCAAATCAAACCACATAGATATTTATATATGAGGAAGTTTCAAAAAGTTAATGGAAAAATAGAATTAAAACATAATGGAATTTATTTCATGAACTATTTGAAGTCCCTTCATAGGTGTGTGCATGTGTTTGTGTGTTGTAGCTATCTATGATGTAATTTTCTTATAAAGTGTGACTATAATAATGATTGAACACAAAAAGGGTGTATGTCAACAGGATAAGATGAACTAGGTTATAAAACATTTAGTTGGTGTGAAGTACTAAGACTTTTCTATATACCACATTTAATACAAAAGCAGTATTTCACATATTCAACAACAAAGAGAGTCAGTGAACTTACTTGTTTCAACAATTCATGTAAAATTCTGATCTCCCGCAATGAAAAACTGATTTTCACTAATTGTGCTTCAAATGGCTCATACCTCAATTTTACTTCTTTTAAAATAGTGAATAATAATTATAAGGAGTCCTGGTGTGGCGCTGTGGGTTAATGTGCTGGACTGCTAAGTTGATTTGAATCACAAAGTTAGTGGTTCAAGCTCACCAGCTGCTCCTTGGAAACCCTGTATAGGGTTGCTATGGGTCTGAACTGACTTGATGGCACTTAGTAACAACATAATTAAAAAGGAAAAGATATCATAAAAGAAAATTTATTGTTTAGAAAACAAATATTACAACAAATTAGTATATTTTATTTTTAGACAGTTAAGAGCATTTCTTTCTGTTTTTTGCTTTTACAAATTCCTCAATGATTTCATCAAAATTAAGCTATTGGATAATACATAGTTTCACACATAATAAAGATAATGAATTCAGTCTTTGTTGAATCATTGTTGTATGTAGAACATTTTGAATCTCTTTAGGGCCGAATATGAGTGTTCTGTTGTGTAGCTTGTGATAATTAAAATTAGAAATATGTGTAAATTAATTTTAATATTGGGAAATACAAATAATGTTTTACTTTCTGTGGAATCATACATGCCTATGTGAGTAAAATTTGTCTTTCTTGAATCTGTAAACTTAGTTTTTGTTATATTTCTGCATAAAAGTATTGATTTAAGTCAGTGGGATAAGTCTGCACTGATTTATTGAAGGTCTTTATGCATTTTTTCATAAGGCTTATCTACATTATTTAAGAAAGCAGATAGATCTATTTGAAAGAACTTTTGTTCTTTTCATGCATACACTTTTGTTCTTTTTGTGCAAGATTCAAGCTCGATGTTACTTCTAGAACATGCCATCGTTTACTTGTTGTTTTTTCTAATGCTTCGATGACAGCAAACTACTAGGTAATAAGTGTTTGATAGTATTTATTTTGTTATGTTTATAAAATATTCTGTTAAATAATACAAATACTGTGTTAATGACTGGTAGAGATCTATGTATGTCTTTAAGCTTATTTCTGAATCTTGTGGAGCTTGAGTCATCTAATGAAAATACTGCAATATATTATTCTACATAACAATGTATTTTGTTGGCAAACTTTTCAGCTTCTCTTTTTGTGTCTGGTTTTCAGAAATATTTTCTAAGACATCTAGAATCTGAGTGTATGATTCCAGAATTGTACTTGCAACTACAGCATACATTTCCCAATGTGTATTAGAAATACATTTTGATACTCAATTATTTCTAAATATCTTTTAATAGCTACCTATCAGCAAATAGAGGTGACAAAGATGTGTAAAATAACTGAGTAGTAGAAAAATAAACTGCTTCTGGACAACAAATCTATTGTACTATGTCCTACAAGATTAAGTGAATTCATAATGTATGGTTATGGAAATGACATATTCATTTATGCTTTAATATTTGATGTTGCATGCATTTATAACACCCTGACCTATTGGTTGCACTTTCATATGACTGTGAAAAATCAAGTTTTCAAACTTTACAAAAATAGTGAACTACTTGATTTGTAATTTATTCACTAGTATGACTTTTTAAGCTAGTAAAAGTGATAAATCACTGGACACAGACTGTACTATATTGAACTGCACCCTACCCAAGAGCCTTCCTTAGCTAGGATGAAGCCCTCTAGAAAATTAAGTGTAGAGTGGTGCTGTCTGTCAGATGTTGAACCTTAAGGGCTAGCTAGACTTTGAATTAACCTTTATGAAGAAGGAAAGGAACCCAGGTTATGCTGTGGGATAAACATTGTGCTGCTAACCACAAGGTTGTTCTTGTTAGGTGCCATTGAGCTG